TTTGTTGACTTATATAATTTTTCAATTTGGTGGGATTTACAGTATGAGAAAGCCCTCAAAATGGAAAAAGAATCATGTAAAATTGGCTGATGGATCCCATCAGTCAGTGACACCCCCTGTAGGTTTTTCTCCAGTCTGCTGTCTGACGGTATACCCGAGTGGATCGTTGCAACAAGGGCGATGACGTCCCAGAATGGAGACAACCCGAGCTCTTTAAATCAAGGTTCCACTCGAGGTGATACGTTCTCCTTCCATGCTGCCAGCGAGCCCAGTGCCAACGAGGACAAGTCACCCAGACAGAATAAAAATGTCCTCCAAGAGGACGCCCCGGGGAACGAGAGGAGGGAGTGCAAGAGAAGAGATTGTTCAAGTGGCGCATCGCTGCAGCGGCTCTCCAAACGCACCTAAGTCTCTTCATCATTGTTGAAGTGTGTCTAAAAGACAGGATTGGGAGTATTGTAGTTGCCATCATAAAGTCTTTACTCTCGGTACAGCCAATTTTTACTGCTGGACAAGTGTAAATAAAGAAGGTTGTCTTCCATCCATTTTCTCGGCTGGAGTCTATCACAGTGGACTTTTGGCGAAAGAAGCAGGATAGGTCACCAGTCGATCACAGGGTTCATACTTGGCATGTTAGTATAAGTTATACAGTTCATACAGTTAGTACAAGTTAAATACAGTCTAACAACGTACAACTCTGACTTACTTTGAGTACAAATTTGGGTTACACCGTGGCCGTATCATTAGAACTCCGTCATAAAAGCTCCGACGTCCTGTAAATTTGAGGGTTTGGCTCCCCAAAACCCTGAAATGGACAGAATCACTTATTTTTTTATTTTTTTACATATGAAAAACAAAATGCTTTGATTTAATTGACATTATTTAACATATACATTAGTCCCTGGGCCCTGGGGTCACTTGGTGGTCGGTAAGGAAGGAGAAGTCAAGAAAGCATTTAGATGTACTGAAAGTTTAAAGTGCTTTATTAGCAATGAACATTGTTATTTTTTTAGAGACTCAATTAGCCTACCTGAGCATAGCCTATAGGCTTTTAAAAAGTGCTGTAAATGAAACAAGGATTTGTACTTTAACACTTTTAACATTTATGAAACACTTAATAGCCTGAACTTGAGCATATAGACACGGCCTATCGTATTGCATATGTATAAAGTGCTGTATATTAAACAAAACCTGTCTGCCGACACATTTACTGAAAGAGGACAATACTTAAATAGCCTATAAAGTGCTGTAAAAGTAACAACTGGGGGACAACTTTACTTTAAGAGGAAGAAAAAAATGAAACGTGTGAATAGACTGAACTAGGCTGAACATGTATTCTTGGCACAGGCGTGCCGCTATGTGGCCTTAAACTGTTATTAGCCACCGTAGATGTCGAGAACTATAAAAGTGAAGAACATTATGTAAAAGTTTGACATTGTCTTAAAAGGAGTTCAAATGCTTTTGCTTACTTTTTTTTTTTTTTTTTTTGACTGACTGAGGATAATCACCATTTTCAAATCACAATAAAATCTCACTCAGCTCGCTGGATTGAGGTCACTGGGGAACTGCAATCATCTTTATCGAGGTGATTATAGATATAATATAGATAATGTTCATCATATACTGTAACTAACACACATAAATAAGAAGTGATTACTGATTGTGCAACATTTACATTGTCGTTCTTATTTATATTCATATTAGGAGATTTTCCATTCCTCTGTACTCATGTTGCTGTATATTAGCATACTTGACTGTTAGGCTGTTAGCATCACTTGTACTTTTACTTGGCAAGAGAACCTAATTCCGAAAAGAATATTGACCCATCTACTGTGTTTTTGGTACAGAGGTTGCTATCTGGCTATATTTTAACATCAGTTATATGGTGTGACCACCATATGCTTCACACAGTGCAACACATCTCCATCTTGGTACACTACGCACGTGTGAGATGGATGGAGTTTGTTAGCAAGGAGAAATGCTTACAGAACCCAATTAGACAGATTTATGCTCAATATTTGAGAGGAATTGGTCTTTTGTGTACATCGAAAAGTCTGACTAGTCGTGCCATGATTGTTATTTTGTTTTGAAGTAAAAATAGCTGAAGAGCGGAACGGCATCCTTCTCGTCAAGTCGACAAATGAGACTTTTGGTGTTGTGAACGCGGCCGTCGAAACAAAATACACATGAACGGTTTCTCACCGCAAAAAAAAAAAATCAAGTATAACTGACGGCTGGCAAGAATGTTTATCATCGTTCCTGCTGTTCTCTTAGATGAGCTGCATCAAATTGAGGCCGTGCCACTTTTTTTCACCCTCCTCTCCATAAAAATGTGCAGTGCACTGTAGCATTCCGATCTGCTGCCAGGGAGCTGATTGAGGTCAATCTGTGATTTGCAAGCCTTGGACCCTGGGGAGCGGCTGTGATATCACAGTGGTGACTTACAGCTCCTCGTTCTCACTTTATATCTTCACAATTGTCTACAAATACTGCACTCTCGCTTCTTCAGCTCTGCTTAACAATTTGGACATTCAAATTCTGTTGCCCGTAAAGTTGGAATCATCTCTGTTTACTCCTATTTAAATGCATAGATTGACTGAATGCTCCAAATTATCCTTCGGTGTGATTGTGAGTGTAAGACGGGCGGTTGTCTACCGTTTAGCCAAGCATGTTTTTGGAATGTGGGAGGAAACCAGAGTACCCAAGACAATCCTCAACAATCAATTCCACACGGTGGACTGACTTCTTTAATCATTAAGCGATTAGCATTCCCATCCCTGCTTTCTTGGCTCTTTTAGCCTTTTGTGAAAAGATGCATTCAACCTTGCCGTCTTGACACAAGGGAAAAAAAAGAAAACAGCTGTCAGCTTTAGTTTGAAATCCTACCAGAACAAATTGCGAGCCTGCTACTTTAACGATCAGCCTCGGAAATCATTTCCAATTTGGTTTAAACTTCTCGCGCTTTTTTTTTTCCCCGTCTCACTCACTCCTTCACAATCGTCACACATACCCGAAGTGATGGTGTGATTTATGACGATTGGTTTCCTGACCTCGCATGCGTGCGGCTGTTTGGCCCAGAGAAAAGCCACGCAGGCACGGGGAGAACATGCAAACTCCACACAGGAAGGCCAGAATCGAACCCTCCACCTCCGCACTGTGAGGCCGATGTGATAACCAGTCGCCACAGTGCCGCTCGTCCTAATATTAAAAGATTGATAATTCCGAAAGAGAAAGCCCCCCCCGCCCCATATTAAAAGAAACAAATGTCTTAATAGGACGAGTAATAAATCAGAACATCACATTAAAAAGTTCACCTTTTTTAACAAGAATGAAGAAGTACATTTCACAAGAATTACGTTTTCCGAGAATTAAGTAGAGAGCGAGAGAGAGAAATATATATATATATATATTAGTTTGAAATCCTACCAGAACAAATTGCGAGCCTGCTACTTTAACGATCAGCCTCGGAAATCATTTCCAATTTGGTTTAAACTTCTCGCGCTTTTTTTTTTCCCCGTCTCACTCACTCCTTCACAATCGTCACACATACCCGAAGTGATGGTGTGATTTATGACGATTGGTTTCCTGACCTCGCATGCGTGCGGCTGTTTGGCGGCTGCAAAGGAAACGAGACTTAACATCACATTGCACTATTGGTTGTTGGATTAGGCGGCACGGAAGGCAGCGAGCCAAGTAAGTGGTTGATTATTCAAGCATATAAATACACACTTTAGTGTAAATAAGCAAAGGGTGGGTGGGTGGGGGGCTATCGAAAGACTTTCTGGGTGTTATATCTTGACTGTCATTGTCACAAATGTTCATGACGGTAAAGGAATGTCAAGTTTTCATTCAAACCCTTTTGAGAAGTTGTTTTTAACTTCTCAAAACAGTACACGTTCTTGGCCGACGTTTCAAAGGCTTTTGCTTTTTGCTCTTTCTTCGGGTGGAAATTTCTGTTTCGGTAGTTGTTGGAAAAATGACTGCTCTGCCCTAGTTTGAGAGCTTATCTTTCATGTGCAGCATCCAGGAAGTGGTTAACCTTGGTAGAGTGGCAGGAGACGGACGCATGAGGCTAACGGAAAATTAAGAAAACAAGCCTTTTTATTTATTTATGTTTGCAGTTGGCTGGCTAGAAATGCAGATGTAGGCCTATTTTTTTTTGATAACTAATTAATTATAGAAGTCTCGCTGAAGATCATTGACAGACAGAGATTATTGTTTTGTTTAAATTATTGGTTTGACTCTCAGCTCAGGTCTTCCATAGGAAAGGAGGCGGGGGGGAGGGGCACACATGCATACTGTTACGCTCAATAAATGTTTGATAATGCCTTGGTGCCTTGAGATTCGACTGAAATGTGAATTAATTTATGTAGTGATTAGAGATGATTACCTAACATCGTTTCATGAATAATGAAAAGGTGAAATGATGAAGTCAAAGATTTACTCTTATTGCAATTTCTGACATCCTTATTCAAGGTGTAACGAAAACGATTTGAATTGAAAAAGATATGAATTATGAATAAATAATGAATAAATATTAAATCGCAATCATTATATTGAAGGAAAAACACAATTGCAATTAGATCATTTTTCAAAATCGTTCACCCCTAATTGCCACTGAAGTTTTCACTCAAACTAAATATAAAATTGTTTACCATATCATATATACTGTATTGTATAATTTTATACTGTCCCTTGGTGGCGAAGACGCACACACCAGAAGCAGCAGCACAATGGTCATTGAATTAAAGCATATAATCACGACGCAAATACTGTTTCATTATTTACATTCTGTTGAATCACATTTTTACTGTCTGTTTTTATATTGTGCGATACTGTCGCGTCCGACCTAATATGCTAAAATTGTGTTGGTGTTTTTTCGGGGGTGGGCTTGAAACAATGAGGGGCATTTTCATTCATTTCAATGCGGGGGAGATGACATGATTTGCAATATGATCTTGATAATAATGATGCTTCTCTTTCTGTCGCTTTCTTGTCAGAACTGCATCGGAAATCATCACAGCGACGACAATGATGCTGACGAAGAGAATGACAGGAGGAGGCCACCGCCGAAGGTGCAGCCCTCGCTAGACTTCCGCCATCTGCTCTGCTCTGCTCTGCCCACCACCACCACCGTCCCCAACCCACTCCGACGCTTCACCATCATGGCCAGCCACCTGGAGTTGATCCAGGAGCTGCAGCAGCTGGACAAAGTCCCCAGTCTGGAGAGGCTGCGGGCGGCCCAGAAGCGGCGCACGCAGCAGCTCAAACGGTGGGCCGTGTACGAGAAGGAGATGCAGAACAAAAAGCGCAAGGCAGACAGGAAGGGACGCAACGCCAACGGCTATCAGCACGCCGAGGCCAAGAGGCGAGTGTCGTTCGCAGCCAGCGTGGCGCTCTTGGAAGCGTCGGCCAGGAACGACCCGGATGAAGGTAGATGCACTCATGTGGTGTATTTTAAATTTTTTGCAAAGTCATATCAGCGGCACGATAGCTAAGGTCAAATTTTGAGCACGATTGGATCTGTTCAAGTTATAAACCTCACTTTAAGTCATATTCAGGCTTTCAAGTAAGGGAATTACCGTTAAAATAAAAACATTACAAAAAAGAAGTGTGTGCCTAATTTAAAAAAAGAGTTTCAAAAATGATAAGGAGGAAAGATGGAATATTGCAAAGAAAACTCGTAATTTTATAAAAATTAAGTTGCAATATTACAAGCAAGATGTTTGTTTTTACAAGAATAAACCACATGAAGAAGTGTCATTTCACAAGAATAAAGTCGAAATATTACGAGAAAACAGTTGGAATTTTAAAGGCATGAGAAAGGTTCAAGAAAAAAGTGGCCATTTTAGTGTTTTTAGCATTCAGCCGACAACTAAGTTTCGATCATACATGCAAATATGTTTATGTGTATATGCCAGTCAAAAATGTTTGGCAATACCATGCTTCCGTAAATCAGCGGTCCGCACAGAGACAGACCCCAAAGCTATTATGGGAGCAAATTTACATCATCAGACAAGGCAAATATGGGCGCAACTCTGGCCAATCAGAGTCCTAAAATTTGTTTGCATGTTGAAATAAACAGAATCCGCCAATAAATGAAAGAAGCAGCAGTGAACAACAAGTAATTGTAACAAATGTACAGCTAAACGCGCAGCTGATGGGCAGCCATGACTTCCGAAGATGAAGCTATTTTGACAAGAGAAGTTCCTCCCCTAGCAGCATCTCGAATGCCATGTGGAGTAGGAAGCTGTTGTCCATGCTGTGTCGTCAAAAACAAGACAAAACAAGAAACCTGTTGAATCATTTGAACAAGTAGCAAAAATGCGAGCGAAGTTAGAACAGCCTGCCCACGTAAACATTAGCAGTTTAGTCGCTAATAACGAGCCAGCAGCCACCAGGTGAAAGCAGCAATCAATCACGTCACATTTGCAAGTAGCAATGATGCTAACACCGTATGTAGGATCATAAACTCCAGATTAATATGTTTACATTATAAGGCGTATTTATTATTCCTAATTGGTCTGTTTCTTAATTAATTCACTGTGTTATTTTATTTTATTCTATATATGTTGTGCAGTACAGTAACACTGTTTGAAATGAAGGAATGTTAAAATGCTGAATTACTCGAGAACGGTGGTTCTTAAACTGGGTTCGATCGTACCCTAGGGGTTTGGTGAATCGGTCTCAGGGGTTCGACGTAGCCTTTGCCACGGAGGTTAAGACGCACCCGACTCAACATGTCAGTTAGTTATGACACGCCCGCTTGGTCATCACTGGCTGCAGATAATCACATGACATTGCTTGTCCAATCAATGCTGCGGGAAATTTAGTTCGCTCAGTCGTCAACGTGTAACTGTCGTGATAGTACGCCGTAAAATTAAAAAAAAAACTTATACTAATGTCTTGACATTTTATTTACTTTTTTCTGTTTGAAATAAATGCGTTTTTTATGTCTTGAATTTGTAAAAAGACATTTTTGTTTTTCACTAATGACGGGTTTGGTGAATGTGCATCTGAACTGGTTGGGTTCGGTACCTCTAACTAGGTTAAGAACCACTGCTCTAGAATTATCTTTGTTGACAGTAGCAGTGCTTTAAAACGGACAATTTAAAAGCAATGAAAAAAAATGGTTGCCTGTCAGCCGGTCCGTGACACAAAAAAGGTTGGGGACCACTGCTGTAAATCACAATACAGTATACAGTGTTCCCTCGCTAACTTGCAGTTCAGTTATTGCGGATTCACCCTATCGCGGATTTTTATTTGTGACCACAACTTCATACATTGCGGTTTTACCATACTATTTTGGCATCTTTTCCTGCTATTTTTCTTCCTCCAAAGTCAGACCAGTTTTTCAAAAACTGAGACGATAAAAATTAGACAGCTCGTCAAAGGTCAAAGCTCAGAGAAGACACTTTGAAACAGTGCCTCCACATTCGGTGTCACCGCTCCAAAAATAACACTTAGCTGATCGCGTCTACTTGAGCCGCCAGCTAATGAGCTGAATTTGTTCAGCTCGGCCAGTGTTTTATCACCGCGGGAATAATGGAGTTGTCACACTGAGCACAAACTCTGCCAGTCTGTTAATTAAAATTTCTTTACGGATTGGCACGCCTGACCCGCCCTCTCATCTTGTGCAGATAGTAAAGTAAGGGTTTGGCGTTTGGACGCAAACAGAAAACATTTAGCATCACATGTAGCGGGTAGAAGCGATTTCTCATTAAAAAACTCACTTGAATTTACATGAGACTGAAGTGTGACAAATGGAGCCGCTGCACATCCTTTGCTTGTCTGGGGAGGAAATATGTTCGTAGAAGTGCAAGCTAGTGGAAAAAGTGCACAGGAATGATCAGTTAGGCTAAGGATGTCACATTTTTCTCAGGTGAATAATGTCATGTGTAAACTTGTTGAAATGTGAAACCACCCTTTAATATATTTCGGAGTGATATTAACAGCCAAACAACATTAACCCTCTCGTTTCCTCCACTGTTTTCTTTAAAAAGGAGACATATGATTCATTTTCTTCACAGTTTCAAACATTTCCCAGGTGTCTTAATAACATGCCTCAAAATACTCAATTATTACACATCCTATTTCTTGTCTCCGTCCTGGCGAGTATGGATTTTGTCACCATGACAACTATGATTTTTTGGGGGGAGGAGGGTGGGGCGGGTGGAGAAATGTATCCTACAATTACAGTTTTGTAGGACTACTAATAATGAGTATTGGTCTGAAAAAAAACAAACCATATCGGTCAACCTCTACTTTGAAATTCTTAATTTCTGTACAAAACAGCGTAACTTCCGCAGTTCGCTGAAATTGAAAGAGTCTGCATGACTTCATGATGCAGCATTTTCTTTGCTAGGATACATTTGTTACGCACTACGTCTTATTGAACGCGGTGTTAATAATAATCTGGCGTAGATACACTGAACATGCATGTTCAAAATCGGACACCTGACAGAAGGTTTCTTGGCTTTGGCGTCTGCTTTGCACTTGTGTACTTGGCGCGGCTCCATTGATCTGTTTGCCATCAACCGCTGTGTAATGAAGGCGGCCATGTGAGGATGATTGCGATGAAAGAAAGAGGCAGGATGCGGCCTGGGTGGCTCTTCTGGAGTTTTTCGGGAGGTCGACACCCTTGACGATCACTCTTGTCGCGCAAGCCCAAACTGAACGCAATTCCTAGCATGTCGTGGAAATGCCTTCATGGCAGCTTAAACGACCAGACGGGAGGTACCAATTCGATGCGAGGTTTGTCTTCAAAATACAAACTCACACTATAATCAAAAGTAATCAAAGAACAGACAAATAAGTTGTAAATATGGTACATTAAGAGATGTACGTTCAATAAGCAAAAGGCAAAGGCGGCCTGAGGAATAATGCCAAGGTTACCTATATTTCAACCAATGGGCATTAGGTAATAAATGTAAACAGTGATATACAGTAAAGAGACAGTTAAGAAAATTGGATATGCAGTATCCACTATATTGAAATTGAGTATTAAGCCCTGCAATGTAAATCCAGTCCCAAGAGGCTGCCGTAATAGTGTCTACATTATGCATGAGCCTGCCGGCTACACAAAAATCACACGAAAGAGGCTGTTTTATAAAGGGGGTACGACTGGAGACACGGAGCGAGTGGGGATGATATATCCCGACGTGACACGCATCCTCCGCGTCCTCTCAAAGTTTTATCTGATAAAACGATCCCAACAAGTCAAGGATTGTCTTTCCAAGAGAAGTATAACATGAGAAAACAGAAAAGTTCCACTGAGTCCCAAGGGATACACTCACTACCAGAGACCTGTACCTTTAAGGGACACTTGGGAGTATGACCTGTTTCTGGATTCCAAGGAATGATCGACATGAAAGGGTTGAAAGGGTGTCACTTGCTGCCAGGACGGTCAGTTTTGTAGTGGAAAATACAGTGACATGACTCGCTTTTGCCTCCTCGTCTGCTGCATCTCCACAAAGTCTCTGTTTGTTCCCCATGATGGCGTAGTGTAATGAAAATTGTATTATTTATTACAACAGAGGGTTCTCGGTTGACCAAAGCAGCGACATATACGTTGTTTGAAGCTATTAAATGCCAAACATTGAGCACAGTGGCATAAGAAGTCATCACTTGGCAGCAAAAGGCACACTCTGTTACCGCCATCCGTTTTTTTCCCCCTTTGATTACATTTTTGACATTAGTCGGTTTCCAACTTTGAGCTTCAAAAGGTTACAAGGACAGGTCGCTTGCTCCATTACGTTTAGGTGTCTGGTGGTGATGGCAGCACATAACTTAAAAAAAAAAAAAACATTGTTTTGACTGTCATGTTATGAAGAGCAGCATAGCGTGTCGCAGTTTCACAGAGCGTGTTTTCACCAGTGACAACACACTAATTACACCTCACATACCACTGGCAATTATAACATCCAATTCGATGTTGGAGGAGCCTCAACCCAAAATCCATGGTCCATTTTTAGACGCTCACATTTGCTTTGGGTTCAACCCTTTCTTCCTACCATGTCATTAGCATAAAGCGCACGCAAGAGGAGCGAGTAGATTTTCGGCTTCAGCAACAAGCCAGGCGGCCTCATGGAAGAAGGAGTCTTGCTCCGTTATTTGTGTGCAAATGAGCTCTCTCCGGAGCTTTTTGTCTTCTTCTCGCGCCTCCTGTCTCGCTGGAGCGGAGCGGCTCCGCTGCCGAGCATATGGCCCCATGCGAGCGGCACTGGAGCAAGGCGTAATGCGATGCAATTAGAAACGCACCAAGTGTGCGTGGGGCTACTTTGAGGCAACGTGGAGACACCTTGCCGTATGAGTAAAATTGAAGATCATTGAATCGATTCACTTAATATTATTATGATTGGGATGAGAAAATCTCTCTGGATGATCTGAACTAAATGAATTCAACCCGTTTATATGTTGCACATTGAAATGAC